TTGACATCTATTAATACATTACAAAGAGCAAATTGTCAAGCTATTTAGGTTCCAACTTCTAACCTGCCCTCTAAAATTCCTTTGTAACAAAGAGGAAATAAGTTTAGCCCAGCTGCAACTTTATTCCTTTCTTCCATTCCTTAAATAAAGAATCACCTTACAATGAGCTCTTTGCCTCTCCAATTTCTCCAGTCCAAGGTGGTCCAGCAAGCAGGCCCTGGATAAAGGCTTAAAGCACCCTCTGCTATTCCTGGCTCTGACACTGACCTGCTGCACAGAGGGCAGCTTGGTTGACATCTCCCTGCCTCTCCTTCCCCTTCAGCCCTTGTTTACTCTGGCTATTTAGGCAGCAAGCTCATCAGGGCAGAGACTGCTCTTGCTGGGCCTGTACAACAGCTGGCAAAACAGACACGGACTACAGGACACAACTGTAATATCACTATATCACCAAAACCCCCAAAGGCTTTGTGTTACTACTCAGCTACAGTTTAGCTGCAGAAAGTATTGTTAAGCCTTAACTTTTCTGTGATATGCTGTCACGCATTTTTGAAATGAAAAATTCTCTTTTCACCTTACATGCTGAAGATGTGGCTCAGCTTTTACTTCAGCTGCTCCTACGACTGAGTAAAAATCTTAGCATAGGGACTCTTTTTACCATCCTCATGACAAGGTCTTGTAGTAGTACAGGTCTATACATAAAATTAACTTGTCTGTACAGCAGAAGTGACAACCTGATTTGGAAAGACTCACAGTTAGATGCCAAGGAGCACATATATATATATATATATGTACTTCCATAATAGCAACACAATATTCTATTGAACATTTAATTATTGCTGATTCAACGAAGAAACAGCACATTTTTAACACTGAGAATGTGCTTTAAGAACTCTTCCAGGTCAGCCCCTACTATCCCTAAGACACAGTGACTCAGGTGGATGTGAACCTAGTGTTTCCCCTCTGCCAAAGGAATGAAGTGTACAGATACATCCCTCAAAGCAAACTTCTTTCTTCTCCTGCAAGTGCACAATTGAATCCAGGCCTTAAATACTTAACTTGGCTTACATCTGTGACTCCCATTTGGCTGAATCCATCAGAAAGGGGAAATATGAGAGATTGTCAATGTTGCGAATATGCCTTTCAGCATAACAGCTAGTGTCTGGGCTTGAGTCCACATCTTCCTTTGACATCATTAGCAACTTAATTTAATATCATTTAAGTGCAAGCATGTGTCCAGAGAAAACCAGAGCTGGCAAATTTTAAAAGTATGTAGCCAGGATGACAATTTTAAAAAATAGGTAAAATCGAATATTTTTACATATACTACTATTTTTATTCTCCATGCTGCTAACAGTTAGGGGTTTGCAACCAGTTTTTTATCAATCTTACCTCTTCCCTATTTTGGCAAAAAGAAGTTTTATAAGCAAGCTGACTGTGCAAACAGTTTTTTCACATACAAGATACAGCTTGTTCCTTCTGATCCTTGTTGTTACAATTATCTGAACATATACCCAACAGAAATAACATTTTAAAGAAATAGTGTCATTTTCAAGTTAATCGCCTTTTTAAAAATGGAAAAGTGGAGGCAGGGGTTAAGTTTCACAGCTATCTCCTTTAGGCTCAAATGTATTGCTATTTACAAAGCATTAACAGATGGCTTATCAAAAGCCACTTAACAGCAGAAATGATCAAACTATTCTGAGATGGATTTTTATTTTAAACTGTAAATACTCCCTAGACTAGTTTTTAACTTATGCCAGCCTCCCAGGGACCATCAGTTTAAGATCTAATGTGAGAACCATGCATGTTATTTTATTAAGTACATTAACCATAAACGGTTCCAGCCTTTGCTTTCTCAATTGCACACAGTATTGCAAAAAAATATCTCAAAACTAAAAACTACTGTTCACCTCATGCAACATTAGCCAAAACATGCAACAGAAGCTTCAGCTCCTGAGTGAGTCAAAGCCAAGCTTGACAAACTCAAGAGTTACTCCATATCGCTAAGAAAGCACAGTTATCAAGAAGTTCCAGCTATCCATCATCTTCAGCACCATTCTATTTACACAGTAATATTTTAGCTTAAATACCTACTCAGCTCGAATTTAGCCTTCAATGAGCAATCTACCAGGTTCCTACTTAAAACTGCTATTCATAAGGAAGTTGTGCCCAGAAGCTTGCCTAAACTCCCACTCCAACTCGTACTGATTACTCGAATAAAACAGAGTATCTCTCTGCAAATCTTACTCCCTCAAATGCAAGAGAAGCAATCTGGAAGATTGCTCTTCACTTTTGGGGCATGCACGACGAGCAAGTGCTACAAAACAGATATAGCTAGTTAAAACCCCTGAGCTGCCACAGAGACTATTAAACTCTTCTTCAGCTAAGTACGAATTTTACAGCTGTACAACTCAACACGTGCAGCCATACTGGTTCTTCTGCAGATGTTCAGATATCCAGATATCCAGACCTCCTGGTTCCTTTTATCCGTTGCCAAACTGCCTACCCTACTGGAGTAAAACTCCTGTAACTCCCCCCAGATACTAGATCTCCATCCAGGGAAAACAAGTGTTTGCTTTTCAGATATTCTCCACAGGATTTGGTACACTATTTCAAGGAACTAGAGACTTTCTGAGCCTTCTATGAAGTTAAAAGTAATTAAAGGAATCATCCTCCAGATATATCTCCAGGTTTCCTCATAACCACTTGCAATGTAACTTGGTGTGTTACCCATGACTGAACTCCCCAGGACCAAGGAAGTGCTGACCAATGCTAAAAGCAGCTCTCAGTACTGGAGTTGTTTGAGGAAAACTTGAAAATAGGACATAGCACAAAAGTACATCCTAGAATTACAAAAAAAACCCTGTTCATAGCAAATCTAACAGCACTGAAATCCCTGTGAGTTCATGACACTCAAGCAGCCTTCCCTTCCCTGAAACCCTCTGACCTAGCAAATCTCTTCTGTAGCTGTTTATAGACCTGCATTCCTCCACAGGGGGAAGTGGTGGTCCTTACACACACTGCACCTGCTCTGCTGTACACCTGATCCCTCCTGCAACTGAAGGAGCAGAGTATCACCTTATTCTTAATGAAAAATACAGAACTTCATTTCCTCAGGAGACAAAATCATATATCACAGTAGACAAGAGTCCAACGCACAGCCATTCCACAGTGCTTATTCCTGCTGACTTCCAAGGGAACTGTGCTTAACTTCCAACCTGTGAATACCAAGCAAGTTGAAGTGCTGGCCTGAAAACCCAACACAAGGATTTTCAGCACCACCAAATTTCTGCTCCTGCCAACAGAAGCCATAATGTTTCTCTAAAGTCTATGCATTGATGACACAGCAACGTCAGACAGCAAAACAGGGGTCAAAACCTGCCATCCCTTCTTTTGAGTCATGTCACCACAGTGTTTATGGAAACAATACTGAGTCATTGAATGACAAACAAGATCCATGCTGGCAGCTAAAGAGAAGCCACGGGAAGGGATTCATAGATCCTAAGAACACAAACTTCTCTTGGGATCCTTAAATGAGGAAGAAAAGTCCACTTTGTGAGGTTGCCTCAGACAAAAGGCAAACTCTGAATCCTCACCAACCACTGCCAAGGCCCAAGCCTCAAAGGAACTTCATTTGAAAGATACTGGTATAATACACACTGCAAAGCCTAGAGGGCTTGACCCTATTCCTAACCTACGTTGTGCTGTTGAACTGAGGGAAAAATAAAGACTGCAGAAAAAAAACCTCGAACAATTCCTACTCAAAAAACTTTAAAACTCAGAAGCCATGAAAAGTCCAGGAGTCACTTTCTCTGTGCCAGCCATTACCATTTATACCAGCAAGCTGCTCTGTGAAAACCTAACACACAAATGTTCCTGGGGGCCCAGAAAAGCTCTTTCACCTAAGAATGCACTAAGCTCACCCTCCAGCCTTTTCCCAGGATGCCATCCTAGGCCTTGCTCCCTTGCAGATTTTTCTCTGAGGTGTTTTCAAGACCACAGCAGGGATCACTGCTCAGAAGTGGGGAGGGCATGCAGGCATACAGGATCCACCCCAGCTGCACAAGCAGGTCTGTCCATCTCCTCGTGCTCCAACCTTCCCTAACCTTGGAGACCCCAAGCCTCAGTGTTTGGAGGGGTCTGGGAACCAAGAAGATCACAAAATCACATAATTATTTGGGCTGGAAAAGACCTCTGGATATAATCCAGTCCAACCTCCCTGCCAAAGCAGGGTGACCCAGAGCAGGCATGAGTCCAGGTGGGTTTTGAGTGTTACCAGAGGGAAACTCCATGCCCTCCCTGGGCAGTCCCTTCCAGTGCTTTGCCACCCTCAGCATAAAGTTCTTCCTCATGCTGAGGTGAAACTTTGTTTGTTTTAGTTTCTGGACATTGCTACTCATCCTGCTGCTAGCACCAGCCTTTGAGATACTTATATGCATTGATGAGATCCTTCTCAGTCATCTCTAGACTGAACAGGCCTGGCTCTCACAGCGTCCCCCAACAGGGAAGATGTTCCAAACCCCTTATGATTCTTCGTGTTCTGCCCTGGACCCTCACCCATAGCTCCTTGTATTGAGGACGCCAGAACTGGACAGAGTTCTGCAGATGTGGACAGGGCCTAACGCTCCAGCCCTCCCGCTGGGCCTGCCACTCAAGACACCCCGCGCAGCCCCGCCAGCCTCGCCCGCTCCCTCGCGGGGACACGAGGCGCCTCCCCCAACCCCTCTGGGCAGCGTCGGGGCCGGGCCCCGCCGCCCCGGGGTGCGCCATGGGCCGCTCCCTCCCAGGGAGGCCCTTCCTGTGCCCTCGCCGCCCCTCCTGGCGCAGGGAAAGGGCGGCGCAACCGCGCTTCGGGAATGGCCCCGCGTCCCCCGCCCCTCGCGGCCCAGCGCCGGCCACGCCAGGCGCGCAGCGCGGCCCTGGCAACCGGCTGGGCCGCGGCATCCCCGGCCTTTCCCGGCCGCCGCCCCCCGCCCTTCCGCCGGGAAGGCCGCGCTTACAAGTCGGTGCCGAGCTGGGTGAAGCCGGAGTTGAGGCAGCCGCGGGCTATGCGCCTCCAGAGGACATCGCGGCTGCTGAGGAAGCGCAGGCGGCGGCAGACCTGGGCCAGGCGGCCCAAGGCCTGCGCGTCCAGGTAGGAGCAGATGAGGAGCAGCAGCTCCTCAGGTAAGGCCCAGAGCGGGGAGGGGGGGGAGGCGGCCCGGGATCCCCCCTCCGCCTGGGGGGATCGGGGGCTGCCCTTCCTCCCCATGGAGCAGCAGCTCCCGCCCCTCCTCCCCGGGAGCCGGAGCTGCTGCTGCCCGGGGGAGGCCAAGCCATGGACGGGGCAGCCGCTCCCCAGTCACATGGGGCAGGAGCCGCTGCCTGTCACTGCCCCCTCCGGGGGAGGAGGTGGCTGCCGGGACCGGAGGGGGCACGGACCGCCGAGCCCACCCTCGTTAGCGGATTAATTCATTAACGGGAGCCGCTGGGACTCCCCCTGTGCCACTTGTCCTCCCCCACACCCCCTCGCCGCTCCGCTACCGGCTGACGGGTCTGTATCGTCCTATCTGGGATTAGAAACGTCACCTGATCCGAGTATTCATTAATAACTTGAACAATTAATGGTGGGGATGGTGATCCCAGGTAACCAGAACATCTGCCTCACCACCTGGAGCAACATCAGCTAGGTACTGCACCCTTGCAAAGGAAGGTGAACAGCAAGGTGATTAATGCTCATTAATTATCCTTGACCAGGGTCAGGAGTGCCTGTCACCCATGAAGTGACAGCAGGGGTCATCTGGTGCTCCACAGCAGTTTTCAACACTCCCAAATTCCTGTGACACATAAAAGAAAGGGTCTTCCCCACCTAAGAGCAGGCCTTTCTACAATGGATCTAGGGCTGGCTTCTTACCAGCACCCTTCCTTGCAGTCCATTCCCCCCTCCAGAGCTCCACAGAGTGGGGTCTGAAAAGTGCTCACAGTTCACACGTGTGTACACATGCACAAGGACACCACCTCGAAAGAACAGTTCATAATAACTGAGTCATTGTTGCCATCCACAGGAGCCTGGAGTACTGACAACGAAGAAGGATTCTGGTCCAAAATGGCAAAGTAGCTCTCCACAGACAGTGGAGCAGGAAAATATGAGTCTAGTTGTGTTATTCTTTCTTATAGTACTTTCCACTTTACAGAAGCCTGAAATGCTGGGGAAATTTCTCCCTCAGAATAAAAAAAATAGATAAATTTTAAGAAGTTCATCATCTGCCTAGAATGCGTTGCACAGGTATCACTTAGCCACCACAATCTACATCTCATTTTGCAGGGTGGAGTAGGATAATAAATTTCAGCATATAATGAGGTTACCATAGTATACAGGCCATTTGACAGTACTTGCATCCTATTCCAGAAGGTCATCTTGTCTGTCTAATCTCAAGCTCCCAAATACTTCTATGCATAAATCACCAGGTCTGGAAGCCTCATATTTTCGAGGTTCAAAACTGCCAGATAAGGAGCTCTCTGGTCCATTTATCCTGAGTTTTAATATACCCTGGAAGTCCGGGAAGTTTCAGAAGGCAGCAGATTTTTTATCAGCATTTTTTGAGGAGTGATGTCTGGAGTAATTAAAAATTTCTCAACCTGAGTTTGAGCTAAGGTGAAATAACAGCACATCTAGTACAGGACTTAAGTAGCCAGCTGAAAGGGAGGTAATACAACAAGTTTTGCTTAAGATTATTAAAACTTTGTGTGAATGAAAATGAAAGTTTTATGTCAATTTCATATCCTTCTAATATAAAATTTGGTTCTTTTTTTAACAGACTACAATATTTTCTGAAACATTAAAATTATTATAAGCTGAGTGATTTCTCTGACTTAAATTGTTATTGCAAAGACATTATCAACTTGGTCTTTCTCCAGTAGGAGCCCGCGGAGACTGCTTATGCACCCTACACTATTAAATATTTTTACTAACAATCTGAAAAAAAATCTGAAATCCTTCTTAGCAGAGCTTTGCAGGAGGCACAAAGCATGGGGCAAGAGGCAAAGGATGCTTATGGCTGCATACCCCTAAGTTAAGTTTAGGCATAATCACATCATATGTATTTCAATCAAGCCAAATGTAAAGTCTCACATCTTGGAACAAAGAATGTAGGTCACACTGAAAGGATGTAACTCTATCCTGCAAAGCTGCAATTCCGTAAAGACTTCATTAAGATGAATAATCAGCTGAATGTGAGCTCCTTCTGCAGTGCTATGACCAAAGGGCTGGGCTAGTGCTGTCCTGGGAAAAAAACAAGAGCTGGGAGCTTTTAGCTCTGTTTTTGACTCTGTTGTGACTGTTTTGGAAATAATTTGTCCAGACAACACTTCAAGAAGGATGTTTAAAAACTAGAGGGGTTTCAAAGAAGAGTAGTAAAGAATGATTACAGGACTGTCAAACATGTTTTGTAGTAAGACCCAAAAAGCTCAATCTATTTTAGCTTTCTATAGGGAAGGTTAAGGTGTGAGGTGATCATACCTTATGAGCACTGAAACAGGAAAAAAAATCTGGCTCTTCCGTTGAACAGACAAAGAGATAAGATCTCTTAACAGAAGGTGATGGGAAACAAATTCATGAATAAAGTGTGCTTATGCAGTGAAAAAAAATCAACTGTTGAAGCAGCTTACCAAGATTTATGGTGGATTCACCATTACAGGATTTATAAAAAACAATACCAGTTGGGTTTCGTTTCAGGTTTTTTTCCTTGGGGGAAGGGGGGGGTGTTGACCACAACTGCTAAAACTTAACCAGGAAGTGAGTTAGGAGAGTCCTAACTCAGGATATCAAACCAAGACAGTTCAAGGGGTCTCTTCTAGTCCTAGGCTCTCTTACTCTGCAGAGGCAGCATGTGCATAGTGTGTGTCTCCCTGCACTGTGTGGCACCCAAATTCCAGTGGACAGTCTCCAGCCTGTGGCTGTGCTGCTTTACCAAGGAAAACTACTTGGTGCAGACCAGAAGGAGCTGGCTGCCAAGTAACACGTGCAGTATGACCCTCTGAGATACCAAGCTCTGAGGTATGGGCAAGTGTATCTGAATAAGGAAGGCCTTAGTGCCCTCCAATTTATAATCCAAGGTATAAACCACTGTGAAATATTTGGTTAAGATGAAAGGTGTTTACACCCAGTAATCTCGGAGGTCACCTGTGCTCCAAGCAGGGGATACAGAGCAGTATGAAGAAAAAAATTACAATACATTGCTCTTAAATGTGGCATTGTTTTCAAGTATGGATTAATTGTCTTACAACATAGTAACAATAGTTATTTTTTTGCCCAAAATGTGGATGTCATCCATTACTTTCTCTGGGTTCTTTTTTTAAGTGAAGTATACCAGCAACTGCGTCCCCTTGAACACACTTTCTCAGGCATGGTTTTGGATACTGCCTGTTGCAGACCTGTCAAAGCTGTGCATTGCTGACTAAGAACCCCATGGCCTTAGCCTTTGCGACAATGCCAAAGTAAGTGCTTATGTAGGTATCTGCAGGAGCAAGAAGCAAGGAAGGTTCTGAACCATTCCTAAAACTGTATGTGTAACCTGATTATTTCCACTGCATTATTCACACTCATAAAGGACTCGAAGCAGGTGCTCAGTGCAGTGTAAGCATAATAATGTATCTTTCCCAAGTCTTACAAAGATCCCAGTCCTCTTCATGGCTCATGACCACTCTGAACCTCTAGAAAAGGGGGTAGGGTTCTGTGAAGTAGCAGACCATTCCAACATCATGGCTTGCAGGGTTTGTAAACTAAACATCAGGGGGCCTATATCTGCAAAGCCTTAACAGCATAAGTCAATAAAATCCAGCCTGGAGAAACACCATTTGAATACCTACCTGTCATTTTTTTTTTCTGTCTTCAAGGGGTTTTATTATTTGCAGTGCCCTCAAATACACCTTTCCAGCTAAAGACACATTCATGTGGACAGCTCTTTGTTTTGTTTTTCCTTCCAACCAATGCTTTTGTGTATTTCTGAAACTTAAGACACCTCCTCTGCTACTACAGTACTTATCTGTAACACCATCGCTTTGAGGGATTAAAGCAGGTTACTTGTTACACACTTAGATCAAGAGTTATCTGAGTAGAAAGTCTATCCCGTTAAGGTTGGCGGAATCTGTTTTTGATCTTGAGTTGTTTTGATTTTCTCTAAGAGCAAGTAACATGTTATTTTAACTTCTGAATAAGGTGTGCTACCTGACTGTGTCTCTTCTGTTTGGCAGAAAGGATTAGAAACCTCCACAGAACTTGCACTCTATTAAAGCAGAGTGCTCACCATTGAGAACCAAGGAGCTGAATTGTTTTCAGATTATATGTGTGTGTGTGTGTCTTTCCCACATCAAAGACTTTGATGGAAGCTGTTCACGCTATTGTTAGGAATGCAGGGATTGGCACAAAGGTGATTAGCAAAATTGCTTTTCTGTAGGAGAAGCACAAAAATTATCAGAGGATTAAAGAGGATAAAATTAAAAGGTTATTCTCAATTTGGGGGCAAATTTTCTGCTTTTAAATTTTCTCCCAAATTATACATATTGATTTGGTTTTACTTATGAAATATTTGCCAGAAGAAACCAGGATTAGAAGCTGTTTCATATAGGTTCTGTTAAAGGGAGATGAAAAATTGTCTCTTAAAAATATTCTCAACAGACCCTATTCCAAACCCCATCCACAACGAGCTTTTGATGAGTACTAAGGGCACACAGCTAGCAGCTGTCCCTGCAGTGTTCTTAACAGCCACGGAATTGGGACATTTAGTCATGACTATGCTGAAAATTATGATAACAAACAGTTCCATAAATCAGTTTGTCATCAGTGATGCTGTTTGTTTACTTTTCTCACTGCACTCTGCTGACAAAGATAGTAAACTGAGGGGATCACTTTCATTACCCACTTGCTAGGCACATGCAATGCTTTTGTATTTTGATCAAGCAGCTGAGCTTCTTGAATGGTTAGGGAAAAAAGGCAATAAAAAGGGATTCTCAAATACTGTAGTGTATCAAAATGAACAGAGCCTTCCAGAATCTTTCTTGCTTGGCAAAACTGCAGTGCAATAAAAAAAAATATCACCTTCCATAGGCAGCAGAATTGTCTTATCTTGCTGGTTCAGACTCCTGTTTATTGTGCATTTTGTTTTGAACACTCCTCTATTATTTGCTAAGACAAGCCATATCTATTTCTTGTCTTTGCGTTTTGAGTTTTGTTTGTTTGTTTTACTAATCTCTTGTTCCCAGGAAGTCACCCGGAATATTTTATTTGTTTTAAACCTCATTTATCAAAGTATTATCTAAAGCATCTGTTCAGAAAATGTTCATTTTAACTGTTTTCCCAAC